TGATGGGAATAAAACCGTGTATAAGAAAATTTAATCAACGTACAAACAGAATTCTCGTACTTCTCGTACTGCCCATTTATTCTAATTGATAAGAATTAGGATTCAATTTTGCATAACTCAGTTTATCTTATAGGAATACTGCCGCACACGACATTTCTGTACTAATCGAATTCAGGAACATTTTCCTCCAAAATGTATTGATTGATTTGTTAATGGGTGGGTAATGTAGTTTGTGTAATCTGGTGGCTGTTCCTGCAAAACCACCTTCCTAGGCCATCTTCTAATTTACTTAGGGTGTTGAGATTATTTACATAGGGTGTTGAGATTATTACCGTAAATTTATCATAAAAATTTTAAGCTAACTGGAATGCATAAATAGAGATTTTTATAATATTTATATTATGCATTGATAATATGTATTTATGTAAAGAATGGTAAGTATTTTAAATCTGTACTACAAGCATTTGTAATTTCTGTTCAGTGTTTATTCAGGTTTTGGACTGGTAACAAGATGTTAGTTTAAAAATTTTCAGTTGATTTTGTTCTTATCATTGAAACAAAAGTTTCAAACTTTTTTTTTGGTCGGGTTATGAAGCTATTTGTCTTATGGTCAGAGCATAGACTATTGTATTGGTCAGAGCATAGACTATCTGCAATTTGGGATTGTATTTTCATAGCTGTATTCAATTTCTGATACAAATTCTAGAGTATTTAAACTGTTTTTTCTTTGCTGCCTGTAAGTTATTATTGACGTACTTTTGATCTTCTTTTCCACCTTTTATTTTTTGCCTGCTGCTTTTCAGAAAAATTCAAATTTATATTACCGATTTAGTAGTAGCTGTGTTTTTAAGCCTCCTTTTTGAGTGTTTTAATGAGCTATGATGTCTTTGTGTAAGCTTTTTAAGTTTGTGATTCAGTGATTTCTACAATACTATTTGTTCTGCACTTCTGTTGTTACAGTTTCTCATTTCCACAGGAACTTTTTTGTCATTCACCCAAATGACTGAAAAAAATTTAGACACTAGGGTTGTTTGCGAATGTAAACAACCTGGATGTTTGAAAACATTTAAAATTTTATTGTTTATCGTTAACAAGAATTAATCAATGGGAAAATCTTTGTAAGAATTTTCTTTTAAAATGGGATAACAAAATGAAAAAGTAACTTTATTAATTGGGTAAATGGGCTCTTAATTTCTTTCTGATGTTGATCTGAAACACTAAAATTGCATTTATGATTTCATTAACATCTTCTGTCATAAATCATGGTATTACAAAAATTATGTTAATTCAGAAGTCAAACAACAAAAATCAGCGTTAATTTGCAAAATTTTCACAGGACTAGTTTCGATGGTTTTACCGAACCATCATCTTCAGCTGCAAAACCGCAAATGAACAAGATAGGAAATAATGCTTAGATAAGATAAGAAAGCCTGGACAAGAATAAGCAAGTGGCGCCATCTGTTGGCGAAACCAGAACTAAAACATAATTTCTCTAAAAGCCGAAGGCAAATTTGGATTGGAATTAGGATCGTTAACTAGAACAGAAAGATTTTTTTATGAATGTGAAATGCCTCTAGAAAATCCAGTTCTCCAATGGAAGATGTTTTTTGAATAATTTTGGCAGCAGAAAATTGAAAGTGTGATTTTTCGGACCAACAATGTTGAGCAACAGAAGACTTCTGTGTTTCCTTTTTTCTAACATATGCTTCATGTTCTTTGACACGAAATTTTAAAGGCTCTCTTAGTTTGGCCAATGTAAATTAAACCGCACTGGCAAGGAATCCTATAAATACCCCAGGAATTCATATCCGGAATGGGGTCCTTGAGTATAGAAGTTGGAATTTTATTGATGGGAGAGTAAACAACCCGAAAGTTAAATTTCTGTAAAATAAGTGCAATTTTATAGCTAATTGATGGAAAGAAAGGAATGATAACAGAATTCCTATAAACTCCTAAAACAAGAATGTACCTTTTGGTGTGTTGAGATGAGAATTTTCTAACTGCTTTGGTTAATAATGGTTCGGGCAAAAAGCCCCTGCCAATAGCAACTGCTTTTAAATAATTTAATTCTTTATCAAGGGCCAGTTTGGAGGAGCAAACTTGAAGTTCACGGAAAACATAAGGAATAAAATGAAGCTAACTCTTGTTAGTCAGATGACATGATTTGAATTGTGGTGGTAGGGAAACTAATGCAGGTTTACGGTAAACCGTAGTACTGAAGTTTAGATGTGTTACGTGTGACCAAAATGTCGAGGAATGGAAGAGAATTGCAAGTCTCAAGTTCAAAAGTGAACTGAATAGCAGGATCAATAGAATTCATTGTTGAAAGAACTCTATTTAAATAAATCATCTTTATTACCTTCAAACAGGGTAAAAGTATCGTCTACGTAGCGGAACCATGCCGGGAAGTTTAAAGTTTCAAACAATTTTGATTCATAATAATGCATGTAGATATCAGCCAGGATGGGACTGAGGGGGCTTCCCATGGCTAATCCCTCAGTTTGCTTGTAATATTTATTTTGGAAAACAAAATGTGTTTGTTTCAAACAGAGTTGAGTGAGAGTTTCTGTTTGAAACAAACACATTTTGTTTTCCAAAATAAATATTACAAGCAAACTGAGGGATTAGCCATGGGAAGCCCCCTCAGTCCCATCCTGGCTGATATCTACATGCATTATTATGAATCAAAATTGTTTGAAACTTTAAACTTCCCGGCATGGTTCCGCTACGTAGACGATACTTTTACCCTGTTTGAAGGTAATAAAGATGATTTAAATAGAGTTCTTTCAACAATGAATTCTATTGATCCTGCTATTCAGTTCACTTTTGAACTTGAGACTTGCAATTCTCTTCCGTTTCTTCTCGACATTCTGGTCACACGTAACACATCCAACTTCAGTACTACAGTTTACCGTAAACCTTCATCGGTTTGCCTTCCACACTTTAAATCATGTCATCCGACTAAACAAAAGTTAGCTTCATTTTATTCCTATGTTTTCCGTGCTCTTCAAGTTTGCTCCTCCAAACTAGCCCTTGATGAAGAACTAAATTATTTAAAAGCAATAGCTATTGACAGGGGCTTTTCACCCAACATTATTAATCAAGCAGTTAAAAAATTCTCATCTCAACACACTAAAAGCCACACTCTTATTTTAGGAGATTATAAAAATTCTGTTGTCATTCCCTTCTTTCCATCAATTAGATATAAAGTTGCACATATTTTGCAGAAATTTAACTTTCGGGTTGTTTACTCTCCCATCAATAAAATTCCAACTTCTATACTCAAGGACCCCATTCCGGATATGAATTCCTGGGGTATTTATAGGATTCCTTGCCAGTGCGGTTTAATTTACATTGGCCAAACTAAGAGAGCCTTAAAATTTCGCGTCAAAGAACATGAGCATATGTTAGAAAAAAGGAAACACAGAAGTCTTCTGTTGCTCAACATTGTTGGTCCGAAAATCACACTTTCAATTTTTCTGCTGCCAAAAATTATTCAAAAAACATCTTCCATTGGAGAACTGGATTTCTAGAGGCATTTCACATTCATAAAAATCTTTCTGTTCTAGTTAACGATCCTAATTCCAATCCAAATTTGCCTTCGGCTTTTAGAGAAATTATGTTTTAGTTTTGGTTTCGCCAACAGATGGCGCCACTTGCTTATTCTTGTCCAGGCTTTCTTATCTTATCTAAGCATTATTTCCTATCTTGTTCATTTGCAGTTTTGCAGCTGAAGATGATGGTTCGGTAAAACCATCGAAACTAGTCCTGTGAAAATTTTGCAAATTAACGCTGATTTTTGTTGTTTGACTTCTGAATTAGTATTTATTCGGCGTGTTATTGTGTCTTAAAAATTATGTTATTCAGACTATGTTAAGGAAAACTAAATCTGAAGATACAAGCATTTCAGTGGATTTAACTAAATCAAAATCTTTCCTAAATGCTGGGAGATGGGGATTTCAAAACAGTTAATACATGCTTTAGGAAATATGTTTTTTATTATTTTTGAAGAATTTTCAAAGGAAATTGAAAAATATGGTCAAGTTCCATCAGTGAAAAAAGATACGAATTCATAGTTGTAATACATTGTAGTTAACAATGGTGTTGAGGCTGAGTACCGTATGGAAAACAAAGAAGTTATACGAATTGAAATTGACAGTGAGAATGATGTAGAAGAAATTACTAATATGACCAAATTTAGAAAAGCACATATTTTAAGGAAAATCTCGAATTAAAATATGGTTCTCAGAAAACTTGTAGGTGTTATAAACTTAAATTCTTAATGAACAATCTGATGAAAACTTAAGTTTGTCAATCCTTTGTAAAGGTTTTAAATGTATAAGGTATGTGAGTATATGAACATTGTTCTAAAAAGCATTATAAATAATTTACAAAAATTGCATGCCTAGTTTAATTTTATTATGTTTTTTTTGGGTGTTATTAATTGTTATTATACTAGGCACATTTAATGCTGATATCTTAATATGCAAATCACAGCTATTAAACCGAAATCACTTAAAATATGTTTGGAAAGGATACAATTTTAATAAACACCAGGTACTGTGTATTTCTATAAGGAATTCTGGGGGGGGGAAGTCTAGAGCATGTTTTAACTTTTTCTCCCTTAGATATTGAAATCTCTAACTTTTCCTTAAACTCCGTTGATTTTACTGATCATTGGAAGACCATATGCAGTCATCTATTGAATTTTTCACTATTGATAACTGGCTTTGAATGGAATAATGGAAACATTATTTTCAAGGTCAAACTTAATGTCTTGTCCAGGACATTGATTGATTCAATTTTTTAACCTGTCATATCCATGATGCTATTGCATTTTAATTCAAAGAAAGACACACCTTTAGAATGTAATTGTTGTATTCAGTGTCTAATGGTCAAATTTGCATAATTTATGTATTATATTTCGTAAAGCCTAGTAATTTTCATTTAGCATTAAGTGGAAATAAGAATTCTTATTTTATTTATTTATTTTTTTCCAGGGATCTTCAGAATAATAACATTGGCTACATTGATGAGTCATCATTCAGTGGGCTGCTTAACTTGACAGAAATGTAAGCAAATTTTTATATATTTATGTTTTTTTTTGGGGGGATAAAATCATTCTCTTTCTTTTCTTGAGGGGGGGGAGTATACTTTTTGTATTCTGTCATGCAAATATATTCATCAAAACTAATAATTGTGCCAGAAAATGCTTCTGAATTTCATTAAAAAGCTGTTTTTTTTTGCAAAAAATATGGTCAAAATAAATATTGTTTTATAGAGATGTTTGGAATTAATGCTTCAGTTTTATATGTAATAAATATATTATATATAATATTTATGTTTACATGGGTAAAATGATGGAGAAAACTGCAATGGTTCTGTGTATTGTAACTGATGTATGGCGCTTGAAGGAAAGACTTGCAGAGAGACGGGGCTGAATCAAGTATAATTTTTATTGCTGAAAACGAACTAATTATCTAAAACACATTTTTTTCATCACACATGAGCATGGGTGCAATATAGAATATTACATTTTAAATAACTGTGTAGTTAGCAGCACAACAAAGCAAAGGAAGCAAAATAGTGCCTAGCTGAAGGGAAAGTACGCAGTTATCCAATATGGAAGGAAGCTCACCAAGAGAAGGTTTTGATTTAGGTGAGAAAGGTTTTAATTCTCAGAATTTTGAGTTTAAGTTCTAAATTAGCTATGTTATCAGTGTTACCCAAGCCATGTAACATAGATTGATCTAGAAATGGCACAGTCCCAGAAAGTTATTATTACTTTTAGAATACTAAGAGGAAATAACTCAAAATAAAAATGAGGAATTAAGAGGCTAAATTAAATTATGAAGCCGATTTTCATGATTTTCTTATCTTATATATACATGTATGTGTGTCACTACATTCATTTTCACAATTGCAGAAAGAATTAGATAAATGTACATTTATATCCATATACTACTTCCAACCACAAAGATTTAAAATTATTTCCCACAATTGTTAGACTTTTTGATCCAGAAACAGGAATTAGAATATTAGATTTTGCTTCATTGCCGGTGAACTTTTTTTTTTTCCAATGGCAGATTGTGAATAGTTACAGTTTCGTAACAGAGTCCATTTATCTATACAGTACAAAGTCCATAATCCGGACATCCATTATCCGAAATGATTTATAATCCGGACCTCAAAGCCACAAACTTAAGCATGTGCAAAATGTGTTTACACATACGCGTTTGATGCGCGCATCAACTGTGCATGCGTGTAAAGCTAGTAAAGCATTTACACATGCACTCTTCCGATAGTGAAGAAAGTGACAGAGAGGTTATTTAAAATGAAAAAATTTCGATTGACAAGTTAGTTGGTATTCTCGACACAGCAATTACAGTATTTGAACAGTGGAACTTTGTACCTGAACAAGAAATTATGTCTGTTTATAGAAGAGAGAATTAAAGAGAAAGTATTAGCACAAAAAAGAAGCAACTTAAACAACTTACATTGAAAGGAATGTTTAATAAAGTAAACAAATAAATATGAAGCTTTTTTTTTCTTCTAAATTTCGATAGATCATAATTGCTCTTTATTTCATAAATTACGGTTTCATATTTTTAATTGTATAATTTCATGCCATCTTACCAGATTTAAATTGATGATCTATAATCCGGAAAAAACCCTAATCCAGAATCGCCAAAGTCCCGACGAGTCCGGATTACGGACTTTGTACTTTACTAAGGCCAGATGTGGTGGTCTCTTTATTATGGAGACACCTAATGGGTGGGCCACCATTGCCTCCTATGAAGAGATGGACAGTTACAACCATGCTTTCTCCGGGATTTGAACCCAGGCCCTTTGGTATCGCAGTAAGGCTTTCCTAACCACTATACCATCTGGGCGGCTGCCGGGTGAAACTTCATAAATAATTTTTGATTCACTAAGTACTATTTTAAAAAAGAATAATTTGAATAATAATATTATTGCATATTGTGATGATAACATGAACACAAATTTTGATAGAAGAGGCATCAATAACATTTTAACAAACATTTGTACCAAAAAATTATTGGAGTAGATTGTGCAGCGCACATTCTACACAGTACTATTCAAACAGCATCTGATTTACTTCCATTGGATCCTGAAAATATTATTGCAAAAATTTATTCGTATTTTTATATATATACTGTGCATGTGGAAAGTTTTTTTCACATGCACAATTTTTGTGAAAGAGCAGAAATCGAATATTAAAAAAGGAGATTTTATGGGAATATGTGAAAAAACTTTTTACTATATTAGTAACAATTTTCCAAAAAATAATATTTGCAAAAATGATCTTTTTGATGAGATGTCATTGGTAGAAAAATATATCACTGAAGAAAAAATTAAATGTTGGTTGTCGGCAAATATGGAGACAGACAAAAGATGGATGGAGTTGTTCCTTCATTTTAAACAGAATAATATTCCTTATTAAAATATTTTGAAAATTGTAGAACACACGCTCTTCCTTCCAGAAACAAATGCAGCAATAGAACGTGTTTTTTTGGTATCAATAAAATATGGACAATCGGAAAAATGCAGTTGAACATTAAAATTTTAAAATCTGTATTAAGGGTAAAATATAATTTGACCAATTCATGTGAGAAATTTCGACATTTTAATAAATGATCTGAACCTATTGCAAAGTATTCACTTGGATGAAAAATATTACCGTGAAAGAAAATCATCATTTTTTAAGTAAAATTTTAAATTAATTAAAAAACATAATATTCAAATTATAGTTTTTTACAAAATATTTTTATAGTCCCAATAGTTAATAATAAATATATTTTTGTACAGACAAGTATATGAATGTATACAATAAAATATATTTTTTTGAATTATTGGTCTGCTTTCATAACTAAATTGCAATTCTCATTTCATTCCATTTGTCCCGCTTTGTCACAATGAAAATGTGGTCACTTTATGTTGGGGGCACTCACTAATTTGCTGCATGGCAGAAAAGAATCCATAATGTAAACGGAACTAAAACTCAAACAGCCAATAATAATTTTACGGAAGTATTAATTATCCATTCAAATGCATTGAGAACGGAAACTAACTCATTCTGAATTAAGATTTCATCCAGAACAGAGTTTACACTTCATTTATACACTTCGGCCTAGTTGGATAGTTGCTTGTTGCTCTCTTCGTACCCGAAATCTAAATAAGACTAATATATTACAAAGCGAGAGATCCAGACGTCCAGCATAGTGAATGGTCTAAAATCCGAACTTAAAAGCCACCAACAGCTTTTTTTTTGGGGGGGGGGTATGCTTTACGCATGCGTATTTGATTCCCCCCTCCTATAATAAAACATGCGGAGAGTTCCGATTCTTAATTTCACTTCAGCACAAAATAAAATACCTCTTTATATTGAAGAAACAATCATTTTAGCATAAATTTGTGTGATCAGTAATTTGACTCCGTAGTTGCGTATCTGCTAGGCATACGTCCCAAACGGAAACATTCTACATAGAGACATCGTTGATAGAAACATATTGATTTTACACCAACAAATATTTTATGTCTATGACGCCAACCTGTCGAATCATTATTTATTATAGTATTTGGCTTTCATCGCCACATGTTTATAAGCACATGACAACGTGGGTGTAATGACTCATTCAGCAATGCCTAAACTATTTTTTTTAGTAATTGAGTAATAAAGAGTATAGTAAACTTTTATGTTGATACTACGATTTGCGGTGATTACAGATTTAAGTTAAATGCGCTGAGAAATGTTTACGAGGAAAAATTTAACAATTTCTTTCGATAAGCTAAAGGCAAAAAGATTACATTTCGTGCTATTTGCTTTAAGAATAACTGATTTGTTAAAATATAAACCCAGAATCCCAGAATAACTATAAACCCGGAATCGGCGCCAGAGACTTTATGGCCACACCTTGCGACGGAATTTAAGGAAGACAAAATTTTTAGAATTTAGGAGAAGCACTGGAACTCAAAATTTAGAGCTTAGGCAGGCGTTTAGTAGCAGAATTTAGGACCCGCAAAGACTGCATCGTAAGATTTGCAAAATTCTGCGCGGAATCTAACAAAAATTGGTAATATAAGTAATTTCTGCTTTTGTGTTAGTGGCTTGATAATAGTCAAAAATATTTTGGTCGTAAATAGGGAAAAAACTGTTCATATTTAGCATGTGAAGAGCGGTGGAGTTGGCTACAGGTATATCGTGTTTACTCGTGTAATAGTCTCTCTTTGTTGTGCCAGTTTTTATCATCGTGAAAGCCTAGGTGCGACTATTATACGGGGAAAACTACTACGCAATATTGAACACTTTTGAAGGTTTTTTTTTTTCCCTGCCTCATCTCCGTTTTGACGCGAGTGAGTACGGTGTTTCATAGGCGAGTAAACACGGTATTAGTTAAAGTATCGATAATTTAGTCATGAGTAAAAAAATTATAACTGCTGTTTTGGTAATTGCAATTGATTGGTTTTATAACCTCTCCATGTTTTTTTATAATTTTTCAAAAATTAAAAGCATCACTGTTAGGTGATACTAAAAAATTATATATCTGCTTTTCTCAGCTAAAACAGTTTCACCATCTGAAGTAGGAGCTGTTATTTGAGAACTTAAAGTAATTGATAGAAAAGCATGCAGAGGGATGTGTTTTATTTGAAATCTTTCTTTTGGTGTTTTGACTGGTTATTTGTTGGGTATAAGGCAGTCGCCTGGCGTTAAACTGAGATGAAATTAAAAGCATAGAGTTTGTGGTAATGGATAGTTGTAGGAAGTCTAAATGAAATAGTTTTTAGGCTGGTTTTTTATTTTTATATTGGTTAACCTTTCGAATAATACGAGCAAAAACATAATTTTACGGATTGAAATAAAGCAGAAAGTAACTCCCATGATCTCATAAATTGCCGGTGTTTCGGAACTAGATTTTCCAAATATTGTTTCCACTACTAAAGGAGAGGAATAGAAATTAACATGTCTTTGTAAATTACAATTAATCAAAGTACTGTAAATTGCAATTAATCTGTAAGTACAGTGTGTCTTGAAATACATTCGTAAATAAAA